AAAAAAAAAAAAAAAAAAGAAATCACAATTCTCCCACTTCACACACGTTAGAAAAGAAATCCAATTCTCCCATCTCATGCCAATACCATCAAAAATGGAAATCCCAGTTCTCCCACCTCACATCCAATAACTATTAAAAACAAAAACAAAAAACCCCCAGAAGTGTGGTATGTACATACAAAGGAAGATTATCCAACCTTAAAAAAGGAAGAAAAGAGAACCTCAAGGACATTGTGCTAAGTGAAATAAGCCACACAAAGACAAACACCGTTATGACTCCACTTATATGAAGTACTTGGAACAGTCAAATTCATGGAGACAGAACATGGAATGGAGGTTGCCAGAGGCTAGGAGAAGGAAGGCATGAGGAATTCTTGCTGAATGGGTACAGAGTTTCAGTTTTGCAAGATAGAAAAGACAAATGGAGATGACAGTGGTGGTGGTTGCACATTGTGAATTATATTTTATACCACTGAACTGTATACTTGGAATGGTTAAGTTGGCAAATTTAATGGTTCATTTATTTTACCATAATTTAAAAATTGGAAGCAAAACAAAACAATTCGCTCTAACGTGGTCTTTCTCTACCCCCCAGCATCCTCTTGACTATCCATTCCCAAGTTCCTGCCAGTGAGAGGAGTAAGGACCATTATTGTTTCCATTCTCTCTCTACAACAATTTCCCTATTGATTCAAGCAAGAATGTGGGTTACGGATTATGGGCAGGATGACTTACGATAAACTTTCACCCTACAAAACAACACTCTCTTTTAACGATCTCCTCTCTTTTTAACTGTGTTTGCAACTCTAGAACTAAAACCCAGGTTGGAGAGATGGTGCATGTATGTTCTGGAGTGTACCCCAAGATGAGCAAGTTTAGATTCACTCTTGGCTTGGGTAACTACGCATCATCAAAGAATCCTTTATCTCTCCCCTTGTTTTCCTCCCCATGAGTGTATCTGCTGTTGAATCATGTCCACACCATTCAATGACTATCTCACTATAATGAGGTCAGTGAGGAGGAACTTACTCTTGATTGTACTGTTCCCAACAGCCATGAAAAATTATAAGTAATGATGGCTCAAATCATATTCACGTAACACCAAGCCTTCCTTGAAAGTTCTGAAGCAGAGTAACACAAGCGAATTTACTGATGTAGCTGTCATTTCAAGACACTAACATGTAAACTGCAAAAAATCATGTTTTAATTTCATCTGCACTTGGTAAACTTTAATTGAAGGATGAAAAGCTGTTGGTAAAATAACTTGACATCTGGGAGACTGGGTACTAACTGCTCAAGAAGGATACAGCACATAGCACTTTGCTCCCACTAGAGAAAGAGAACCTGAAAGGAAATCGCATGATGAGTGACTCCTCCTGATTCTTTATTATGGTACATTGCTACACCCTAAGTAGGAAAGACTAAAAAGTTTTTAGTATATTATGGAATCCAAAACTCAATCTTAAATTCAGTATTTTAGAGATCCCTCAGGGCAATGCTTGGATACATTGTAAATGCTCCATCCACATTCACTCCTATGACAGGAAACCAATCTTCTAACATAGTATACCCAATAGAATCATTCTACATCTATTTTCCCATTGTCTTACTAAACAGTTGTATGAAATTCACAAATAATGATTTCTGAGTCACCAGACTGTTGGAATTCCTTCTTAGTTCCCTATCATCTTAGCTGTCATTTTCATGTTTTAGGCATTCATTAGCTTCAAATACACTCTATTGCCCAGTATACAAAGGTGGGAATTCTCAGATTTTCTAATTAAACAAAAGGAAACATAGCCTTAGAGTGGCCATATGTCTGTGTGAGAAGACACTCTCAATGATAATGTGTGTGTTCCTAACTTCGAATCTTGAATTAAAAAACTCTCATTTCTAAAAGAACAGAATTTTTTAATGAAATCAATTATTGTAAATGCATCTGAGAAGGTTTGCAAAGCAATTTCAACTAGTTTGGCATGATAGTTATAAAATGATATGCACTTTGTATGCATGCTGAAGAACATTTATAGATAGTAGATGATAGACCATCATCAAACATTCATTAAGTCCCTCCGTCCCATAAAAATGATGGGATCTGATAAAGCACCATTGTCAGAAATTTCTAAAAACTAAAATGGAGATGGTTTTCATTCTAAGCCTAGTGTATTTTTAAATCAAGCCACAGGGAAATGATTACTTTTGTTTCTATTCAATCAAGACCTGCAACGGAGTTTATGGAATGACATAATATCCTTCCTGAAATCAGACCGGCATGTAGGACCCGTATCCTTCACACATAACTAGTTCCTGAACCTTCACAAACAAATCCTAATTTCCAAGGAAACAATCTCATCAAATGTTGCTCACTAGAATACTTATTGTTCTTTTTGGAAACATTACAATAAGATTTTCACAATTCCAAAGCCCGACTTCCCTTCTAAAATTCAAAATACTCTTAAGTTCATTTATTTAAGTAGAAGTTGTACTTTTACAATGGCTCTAAAAATTCTTGGTAAACTTATGTAGCACCCATAAAATAAGGTAATTGCTTTAGCCTAGGAGAGGGGTGGTCATTAACTGATTGTAGATATGTATACTAGGGGTTTCTTAGGAATGTTCCTCTCTCACGGACCTATTCCAGAAGGAGCATGTTTTAAACTGTGTGTGTGTGTGTGTGTGTGTGTGTGTGTGTGTGTGTGTGTGTGTGTGTGAGAGAGAGAGAGAGAGAGAGAGAGAGAGAGAGAGAGAGAGAGATTGAGAGAGAGAGAATGATAAGCTTTAGAAATACTCCAGGTTGGTATTTCTGGAGGTTGAAAATAAAAAGAAGAAAGCTAGCAGCTTACAATGAATATTCTCTCTTCACTGCCTTAGGAAGCTGGAGTTTTGTGTGCAGGTCACAGGATTTGTTTTGAGGTGAGCAAACACATTTATCATTACCCTTTATCAGAAAAACAGTCTCAACAACTCGGTGGCAATGACTGCCATAAACATACCAACAGGAAGAGAATGTGATTCTGGTTGTCAGCCCGATGGCCTTAAGAACTGAATCCATACTTTCCTCCTCTGCACTAAAGATGTCCTAAATACTCCGGTCTGGGTGGACACTTAGTCCCCTGCCCCCTCTCTAGTTAAATAAACAAGTGTCCACGTCCCAAATGTGACAGAGGGTGGGAAATCTGCAGAAAAGCTCTTCAAACACACACTGAGTAAACTTTTCTCATTTGCTCCGAAGACACATGTTAGTTTTGGAATTTACGATCCATTTTTGATGTCCCATCGTGAAGTTTTCTGTGCACTTTGTGTTGAGTTACGCGACAGCTAAGGGCTGTCACCGTTTGCTGAAAACTGCAGCCTTAAGTTCTCTTTCAAAGTTACGGAGAGCATGGCATAGAAATCCATATATTGTAAAGTGAAAACAATAATTTTTTTAAAAAAGAAAAAAGCTGGGTTAGCATGAAACAGAGCCAACAGAAACCAGAATGACAACAGCCTTCCACTGCCGGCAACTCACCTTGCTGGATTTTAGTCACTAGCTGATGGCGCGCCAGAATCCGGCTCATCCTGTAAGGAGAGCGTCTTGCAGTTTGATCAAATCGCAAGTACATCTCCTGGCCCTCAGGTGACATGGAATTTAGGTAGTAGCAGCCTGAAGCTGGGGTCCTGGGCACCTGACTGATCATCCCGGCAGAGTGCCTAGTGCCACTTCGGTCTGCCTGGGGCTGTGTCCGTCTGTCGCCAGTCTCAGTCACCGAGCAAGGCACCCAGCCCAGGAGAGCTCCACCGACCCAGCGATTTTTCAAAAGGAGAAGGAGTGCCAAAGCCACAACTCGGAATTCCAACCCCCGGGGCCCTCACGTGACCATGGAGGCCAATCACAGGAAGGGAGGAAGAGGGGACCGTCCTCAGCCAGCCCCAGCCCCAGCCCCGACCGGAGGCAGGTCGGCCAGGGCCAGCCAGGATCCCCTACACAATGCTGAGAGCGAAGACGGGGAGCTGACATGCCTCCGAGCTGACCAAGCACCCCAAAGCAGCCCTCACCAGGAGAGTGAAAAGAAAAAGAGGGCAGGGAGGAGGAAAGGCAGCAGAAGCCAAGCCCAGGATCTCAGGGAAACTTCCAGGCTGTAAAAGTCACAGAAAGCTCCTTCTCTTTCTACAAGGCGGCTGCAAGCCAGGTAAAAGATGGGCTTGATACGTCTCTTAAATAAAAAAAACCAACAAATCACTTTGGATAAGCAGAAACAGTTGAGTATAAACGACCACCGTTCACTGCAAAGAAATGACTCAAACAGAATTTTTTTCAGTGAAAAATAAACTTCAAGTGCTTTCATTAACACCAGAAATGAATACACCACTGACTCCTGACCCTTATTTGATGGGAAGTGGGGGCTCTTACAGATAAGACTCAGCGAGGCAAGGTACACACACAGCTATTATTTATGAAGCATCCATCCCTCTTTAATTTGTCTACTTCCCTGATTTTTTTTGTACACATTTTTTTTATCTTACCAAAATTTTCCTATTGTTGACATAAGAAGACTAGCACTTAAAAAGATTTGCTGGTGGTATAAAAATTATTGTTCAAATGATAACTACGTCATCGAATTGCAAATAGGAGTTAAATGACTGATGTATTTTCTTTCTTTTCTTTTATTTTAAAGATGTGGTGTACAACTCAAGATTAGGTAGATAAGCAGTCATACAGGTAAAGTTTGGGCCTCCCTTTGGTCCCCACTTTGCCTGGTTTGCGATCTGGTACCCTTATTGATGCTGTGTGTCCCCCTCCTCCCTCCCCTGCCAGAATACATATTAAGCACCGATCACATAAGACGCTGCCAGAAAGCACTGCAGAAATTGACGAGATCCTTGCAGACATACTGTCACCAACCTGCTTGGATTCAGAAAGAAGTTACTCAGAAGCTTACAACACAAGGCCACAGGTGAACAGTGCCTCGAAAAAGACACAAGCACAATGCTAGGTGGACGATATTATTGTTGACCGAGGTGGCTGCGGGCCAGATAGAGGAGACTTGGATTGGTTTTTAAAAAATGGGGGGAATTCTAATAGGAAGAGTCTTGGGGGGTGCTTTTTAGGAGAGTCTATGCCCACGCATGTGCATATCAGAAACCAGAGTGTGTGTTTAAGGAAATTGCTAGTAATTCAATTTGACCATATCTGAGTATGCATATGGAAGTCATTAGGATTTTTCTTGGACTTATTTTTCTTCTTTAATATTGCTTGATGTGAAGAGAAACACGTCTATAGAATACATGTCATCAAATTCTGAGCCTGAGGCCGAATGAATAAAGTTCTTTGATTAAAAAAAAAATCATATGGCCAAGTGGCTTTCACATTTGGCTGATACAAATGGAAGCATAAGCTGGCCGGGGATTTATAGTTCTAATAATGAGAAATTATTTCTAGATTATTTCCAGATTAAAAGTGTATCAGGACTTAAATTAGGACCTAGATTCTTGTCACGAGGGCTTAATACCTTTTGCTATGGGAATTTTTGTTGCCCAGATTCTGAGAAGCGGTTCTTCTTGTGCAACTGACTCACGTGTTTAAAAAAAAAAAGTTAATAAAGATCTCTGGAGCACTAGAGTCTTCCCTCTCCTAGCAGCTACCAGCCTCTTCCAGGGACTATACAAGAGTTAGAAAGTGTCAGATTTCAGGACGTGCTCACTGGGTCATAGTGTACACTTTCCATTCTTACTAGGATTTGAGCAGAAATTTTTCTGTTCTATGGCATCCTTTGAGGGAGTTAAAAGGGATCTAAGATCTAGTGACTGGTAAGGCAGAAGCACAGACGTGGATGAAGAAAGGGTGAGCACCACATTGCAATGATGGATGTCTGGAAGGATCTTTGGCTCAGCTCTGTCTATACTGGCAGCCATCTGATCCAGGTGTTGAATCAGCTGCTTTGTGCACAACCTTAAATTAGGACCTCGATTCTTGTCACGAGGGCTTCATACTTTTCGCTTCAGGAATTTTGGTGCACAACCTTTGGCTTGATACTCCAATACCAACACTGGGGATATTCCTGTCATAACCTTTTGTTCAAGCCAGACATTTGGCAATTGCCTTTTTTATATATACTGGGAGAGAACAGAAGAAGGGTATAGAAAGAAAGAAGAGGGGAACATGAAATTTGGGGATGTTGGACATGTTCTGAAAAACCAAGTAAAGGGGAGGAAAAGGCAGGAAATAATATATAGCTGTATTATCATTCTGGATAGCACTTAAAGAAAGATGGGCATTCCCAACGCCAACCTTGAAGTTCATCACTGACTTGACTGCATTTTAAAAGGAAATAGAATGATTCTTCCTGAGAGGCGCTGCAGTATCAGGGTCAGGTTACTAAAAAACAAAAACAAAACAAAATCCAATTTTGCATTGCCTCCTTTTTTGCACAATTATGAATGTGTTGAAAGTCCCAGGGTTTCATCATTTTTATGATCTGAAAACATTACGTCATAGAAATGCATTTTTTGACATGTGAATTGGTGAAACAATATGAGACGTATTTCACAGGAGATGAGCAAGGAAGAACAAAAATTGAACTTAAGAGGAATTGCTATTCCCTGATTAAAAGACAACTCAAAATAAAGCCTCATTTTTTTTTAGTTGGATTCTCAGTCTGTCGCCCAGGCTGGAGTGGAGTGGCATTCTCACGGCCACCCCAGCATCGACCTGCTGGGCTCTGGCAATCCTTCTGCCTCAGCCTTCCAAGTAGCCTGGAACTACAGGCATGTGCTACCACGCCCAGCTAATTTTTGATTTATTGTAGAGATGAGGTCTCACCAAGCTGCCCTGACTGGTCTTGAACCTGTGGGCTCAGGCAATCTACTCACCTCAGCCTCCCGAAGTGCTGGGATTGCAGGCTGAGCCACCGAGCCCGGCCCTCATTTTTTCAAAAAACTTAGTTAGTGTTTTCATAAGGGGATATAAGAAAGATTGTGTATCAGAAACTAGAACTTCCCTATGTATAGACAAGGCCCCTAAAATTTTATTTTATGGTTCAAACAGTGTCTACAAATCCACTCACCTGCTCACCATGTTTTTGTCAGTTTGTATTGCCAAAGAACTACACATAAAGCTGGTAGGTAATATTATTTTCTCATCAGCATGCCATTAGTACCTTGTTTTATATTAATGTATTGCTATTGCTATGAAATTCATATTCCTTAATACTTTTTTTTAATCATTTAGTGCCAGTGGTAGAAGAATGACCACTGGGATGAGTAGTTCTGGTCTACTGGAAGCAAGAAACACTGGTTCTGTCTCTGGGCTTGGCCTCTGTGCATGCCACTGAGAGAATTGGTCTTCTTCACTGGCAAGTGCATAAGGTCCTGAAGAACCAGATGGAGACAGTGCCAAAATTACAAGCATCTTTGAAGACTGATGCTACATTTCTTCCTTTAAAAATGAAGAAATTTGGTGATGCAAAGCCATCTTCACCCAGACTATTTCAGGAACGGGATAAACAGATGAATATTGGGAAAAAGAAAGCAAAAAGGAAGGGAAAGGACAGGGAAGAGGAGCCAGTAGCACTGAGCACCTACTATGTGCCAGACATCATGCTATGCATATTCCATGCCTTTAATTAATCTCTGCAGCAACCCTGTGAGGTATCTGATTTTATGGAAAGGAAGGTGAGGCTCACAGAGGAAAAGCAGTGACCCAGTCATAGCGAGCAAGTGCGGACCTACTGTGCGTCTCCAGGCCGATGATATTTTAACTCTTTCCACAATCACACAGGAAGGACATGAAGGAAAAAACTCCTGAAAAGGTGCTAGGAGAATTGGATAGGAGAGAGCATTTAGGAAGAGTTGACTGGAGATCACGTTAATCCTATTTAATTGCATGAGATACTAGAATGTCTACATGGAAATATAGATATGGGATGGCTAAAATTCCATGGGGATTGAGAGCTGGTGTCTCAAGAAGTACTGAGTCCAGAGCCCTCAATTAATCAGTGAGAGCCAGGGGTGCTCTTGGGTATAACCCATACTCACTCCAACCCTAAGAAGAAGCAGCAACTCAGCTCCACCCTCTCTTGGATGACTGCTCATTGGCAGGGTAGGTGGTTTGTCCTGTGCTTTCTACTCACCCTAAGGCTTGCTCTGCATATGTATGTCTTGCCTTTTTCACTTTATTCCCTCTCAATGCAAATGCTTCACACACGGTCAAAACTGAATTTTGATCTCTAAACAATACTTTTGGTTCTTAAAATTTCCATGTCTTTTGATAGGTGATCCCAGATCAGCACTCCATGGAATCTTGTATACACGGGGCCAAAGGTTCCTTACAGAAGCCAGGAACAGGCTCACCATCGGCTGTTCCTGCTACTCCTTCACAAACATTCCATTCTCCTCGTCAGCCTGTTTGGAGTGTGCCAAGCTTATTCTGCCAAGTGGGAAAATGTTTGAGATACAAGTGGCAGGTGGAAGAATGCAGGACCGATTTGGAAGGCTGCTTTTAAAATTACATGAACCCAAAGGTTGTGGCTTGATGTCAAAGCCTTCCTGTGGGCACCAACTGAGTTGTGATGTGGGTGCCCAACTCTGTGCCAATGAACCTTCCCAATCTCACACACCCCATGTCCCATGCTCAGTGCAAGTAAGCCAGTGATGCTAATACTTGCAGCCATGACCAGGACCCTCCATGACTGGACCCTCAGCCTGGACCTTCTTCTGATCAGTTTCCCCAGCTCCAGACCATGACGCCCACCTGGAGTCCATTCACTGCTGCAAAACACGTGGGTGGTAATAGATTTCCTTTATTTTGTCTCTCAGCTCTGC